TGTTCAGTTATTTATTTTATTTTTTTATACATATAAACTACCCCAAAAAAGAGTGCCACTTGTAAGATAATGATAATAATAAAACAAACATAAACAAAAAATAAATTGTACAATTATAAATAAACAAAAAATAAATGTACAATTACTATATTTATAATTAAGATAAAAACTTTTCAAATATAAAAATAAAATGAGATTTCAATGTAATTTGTATCGTATTCGCGGGCTGCTCTTTTCTAAACGGAACTAGCACACTGGGCCTCTCATGCGGTGGGTTGTGATTGGTCATCCTACACTAGGCCCATACCGGGTAGATAAAAGCCTACCTCCAGTTTAGACAGGCCCATATTTATTATACCTGATCCAGCCCAGCTAGAAGTAGATATTACTCCCAACAAAAGCTCAAATCGCTTTCAGAATTTCACCATTTTCTACCGTCATCCACTCTGCACAGCACAGCATTTACAGATATTGCTCCCCCAAACAATGGTAAGTTACATTCTCCATTATTTCATCGTTGATTTTCCCTTAATATTTCAGATTACCGATTTAACTTATTTCTTTATTTTTACTTGCTCATGTTTTTGGGATTACAATATCTACTTGTGGTACGGTTTATTTCTTAGTGCTCTCAGTAGAAACGTTGGATGGATTGTTGAGACGATATTCTTTAGCTAGAGTGCGTGTATCTTCTCCTTATTAATTGGAGGAATAGAAACGTAGAGAATAAGAGAACCAGAATTGTTTAGCACATTTAATTTTTGGGGGAAAAATGATAAATGGTTTACCCATTTTATGAAGTTGTAAGGACTAAGTGTTTCTTCCATTTCTTACTGTTGTTCTTGCTTATGGTTAGCTATGTATAAGCATTTAAATTTACCATTTCTATTACACACTCACACACCCATGTTTGGTGTGTATTGATCTAATGATACTAAAAAGTAAATAACCGGGTTACATCTATCTGCGACCAGTAAGTAGGAAGTTATGATGAGCTGTAGATCCTGATTCAGCTCTCTATGGAATTTTTTCACTGAGTCATTAGTTGCTTTGTTGCAGTCAATCTGAAACTTGAGGGATTGATTATACAGTTCTGTGTATGTTGATTTTTTGTATCTATTATGGTGACATTTTGTCTTTATTATCTCTAGTTGTTGTGCTTCGTACTCTTGGGTACGATCTTGATGTGTACTATCTGGTGAATTTCTCTGCCAAGATTTCTGTGTTTACAACTGATCTGCCAAAACAAAATTCCTATAGGCTTTATTTGAGTTTTCAGTAGCATGCATTCTCTATAGTTTATTGATATTATTCATACAAATATTGTTCCTAATCATATTAGTACTCTGTTTGCAGGATGGGCATGATGAAGAGAATGCTAAACAAAGTACTGCTGACATGACTGCATTTGTAAGTTCTATCCAGTGAAATCTTACTTAAATATTTTTTAACTATGCTAAACTGCTTTGCTGGTGACTGGTGTAGATATGAACTAATATTTCCTGTCCAATTTATTTATTTATTTATTTATTTTTTTTATTAGCAATTCTTCTTTCATTCCCCCCTTTCACCACACATTTCTGCAGAGACTCTTTTCACACATGTAACTAACGTGCTACCTTTGACTCTGTAGGTTCAAAATCTTCTTCAGCAAATGGTGAGTAACTGATAAAACAAAGGCAACCTTCACTTTTCCTTTATCTTTCTTTTTTTCCTCTACACCGTCTTGATGTTTGCTCCCTTTCTGCAGCAATCGAGGTTCCAAACAATGTCAGAATCCATCATTTCAAAAAATATCCTTAATAACTAGATTATTCAAGACATTATATATTCCTGCACACAGACACAAAGTTGCTCATTTTTGCAGTATGAATATTCAATATTTTTAGATTCTCGATCGTGGAATCTATATTGCTCTCGATTGTCAAGCAGCTATGTTGTTACTTCTTGTAATATGATTAACACTTCTGTGCGACAAATCTTGTGCACATTATAAGGCAAAATCCCTTGTTGTTCAGCCTGCAAAATTTTTATTTTTCGTTTTTATTTCAAATAATCTATATATAAGCTTGAAATTTCTTAACTGCATTGTACTCGATGAGATGGGTAACCGGATCGATGAGCTGGAACAAAGCATCAATGATCTTAGAGCTGAGATGGGTCAAGAAGGTTCTCCATCTCCTTCAGCTCCATTGAAGTCGAAAGAAGAATCTAAATCAGCTGATGATAGTTAACTAGCGCATGATACGTTTATTTAGTTTGAACTGCTCGTTTTCTTTTGCTTGTCTCTGGTTATTTTGGGACAAACTTGGTCACTTTGTTGTTCTCTTACTCATTGTTTAAAGTGATATTCTAGACACTTTGTGTGCTTAGATTTGTGATGGATATCCAATTTTAGTTTTTAAATCTGCTATAGGTTTGTTTTGGCCTGAATTTGTTGCTTTAGATGATGGGGGTAAAAAAATTACTGCTTTCAAATTGCCCTTCAATTTGTATACTTCAATGACAATTTCTCTTAGGATTCATAAATGTGTATTTGCGTTGATTCAATTTCCACAGAAAATTGAGCCTTTTGCAACTTTTTTACATTGCATTGTATGGCTATTTTAACTTGTTCTCTCTTGTATGTATACCTTCGACTGTTTAATTATAATAATTGCTTTAATTTTATCTTCCACAAATCACCAAATGCAAAATTCTGCAAACTCTAGTTATCCCGTTGCGTTGATGTTTGTGTGCATATGAGTTTTCACTTCTACTCATTCGTGTGCTGCGTTTGACATATGGTGTCCATTCCTGAGGAAACTACGAAATATCTTAGCTCATCAATTAATTGCATTTTGTTTTTCTTAACAAACCAAATAATTGTGCTAGGCATATTAAGACTCTTTTGAGCCTCATATATACATGTTAAATTAGCTGCAATTTTTATTGAACCTAAGCTCGTAAATGAACCGAGACTACCACCAAGTCATTCCCGAACTATTGGGAAATCACTCTATGAAAGTTTGTCCAGGCTCATTTACAAGCCTCACTAAAACAGATGAATCAAACTCGAGTTTGATGATATTCAATTCGTAGCTCTTGAACCAACTTGTTAATGGACCCATGACAAGCTGCTCAGAAAGCTTGTATAGTTTAACTTATCTAATGTTGTAAAATCACTAGAATAAAGGGAAATTTTTATAATGCTACACGATTTGTAAGTAATTGCAACATTACAATTCATACCAATTTAATTGTGTATATACCTAAGAGATAAAAATTAATTAGATTCATGCCTAAAAATCAGTTACAGGCAGGTGGAACAACTATTCCATGTTTGTAGCACATAATTTCAGTATTCAAGATAGAAAGATATCATATTTGAATTTGAAAACATCTTCTTCATTGA